CTGGTCCAAGCCTTCGTCGTCGCGCGGCAGATCCTGCAGAATCACCTGGCCGATGGCACTGTGGGAGCGGGAAAGCTGCGGCTAGCGACAGGCGCTTTACTCCTCATGGATCCCGAGCACCTGACGGCCGCCAACACCAGGAAACGTCTTCTCCGGAGCGAGATGTCTGCAGGAGGCGATGTGAGATCGGCATTGATGCAGGAGAAGTGGTTTGTTGACAGCTTGCTCACCAGCCGACTTCACCGGCACACAAAGTCACCGACGCTATGGAGTCATCGGCGATGGCTGCTTGAGCGTTTCCGTGAACTGGGGCTGTCCGTTGCCATTCAACAGGATGTCGAAGCAGTCATCATGATAGCGGGTGAAAGACACCCACGAAATTACTACGCCTGGGGCCATGCACGATGGTTGACGAAGACTTTCGAAACTGCTTCCAGCGGTGAGGATATCTTCTCGCTCGTTCAGAGTGTCAAAAGGTGGTCCTTTAGACACCACACAGACATCTCCGGATGGTCGTTCCTTGCTCATCTCTTGGGTGAGAGCCGGAGCAACTTTGATAACCAAGTCTTCTCATCGGTGTTCAAAGAGACACTTGACCTGGCCGAGTCTTTGCGGTGGGAGAACGAGTCAGTATGGTGGTTTCTGCGCACCACGGCATCCAACACAGCAATGGGGCAGGCTGGCCTAGAACAGTTTGTCAACGTCCAGGAGAAGCTCTCTGCTACTGCACCTGTAGACTCTACGGGATTTCGAGTCTTGTCAGCGGCCCGGAAGTGGTGCGATATGTATGGCCCTCATGGCGGACTTATTCCGAGCGCATTAGAACAAAGCTATAAGATTGAAGCTTAAAAACCTCGAGTCGCGTGGGTGGCGCTTGCGGCGTTGCCGTTTGAACTGGGAGGCTATTTTGAGGACCCTTGAACCTCATTTGCTTGATTTCGTTCTGGGTTGAGCCCTGAAATTGGTCCCATCACGTTGGTGGAATACGAGCGAGCCTCGCGTCTTTCAAGCGCAAAAAGACACGGCAGAAATGCTCCCATTTTCAAGGAATTCCCTGCACCGCAGATGGGAAAGCCGCGTGCAATCACATTCTTTCTCGCGAATTTTGACAGCTGCTGCTCAAATTGTCGATAGACTGGCCTTGCTGACTGCCGTGCCACAGCGGTCGTCGTGCATATCTCGGGTTGATTGATGCATTCCTCAGCAAGCCACCCCCAGGATGGTTGGTCGTCGGTGATAAGAGGCTGAAACTTTTTGGCGATGGGCCCCTGTCCATCATGTCCACAAATGGACGCCCCTGCTCCTCTGTCGAAGTCAGCAGCGCGCGAAAAGAATCGGATCTGCGGACAGTGTGATGTGGTCGTGAACCGCCAGCGGAGGGCAAGGACCCCGGATGGACAGCGCCCAAGGCCTCCGTCATTCTCAAGTTTATACGCAGCAAAATGATGTAGTCGATGGGCATAACATCTGCAAATACCCATATGAAGGCCTTTCAAGGCCTCGGCCGTTATTCAAGGCGACAGATGGCATTGGCTTGTTAGTGCATCGGCCTGCAACGAGCCGGCTGGGCTGGCGTTTGAGCAGCGCCATGTTCGGGTCAGGAAGACGTCGGCCGAACAAACGGCTGGGGAATGAGGCATTTGCGACGGCGTTGGAAAGGCCTCGCCAGCCTTGAGGCTGTGGGCGGCCTTGTGACGAGAACCAAACGGCTTAGTGGCGGGGATAGCTGTCAGTTGTAAGATTGACCAGAGGAAATCTTTGGCGCAAGAGGAAAAGGCTGGGAGTCGTGTAATTAGCAGTAGGGCTCAGGTGGCTCGAGGCAGATTGAACCCTGGGGGCCAGCGGCGCAGGGTCGACAAGACTGATGGTTTTCACAGCAAATCGAACCTCTACCACCAATGTCCCCTCTTTTGCGTATGATTGAGTTGGTCGATCTTCTGCCAAACCCCAGACACAAACGCTTCAATGTCGGGCCAATGCAGGCTGAATCAGCTGGGGGCCCTAGAGGATGGAGAGTGGATGCGGAAGTCGAGAGTCGAGGAAGATGAGAGGTGACGAGAGAACGGCCGAAATAGCGAGTCTAGACGGCCAGGGAGAAGATGGAGGAGGAGCAGCGGTGGGAGGTAGCGAATGGCTCGAGCGATGGGCAGCAGTGCCAAATCGCAGTGAGCCAGTGAGCACAGAGCAGTGGACGACTCGACCTCGAGGAGAGAATTTCCCGAGTATCCATCTGGCGGCAAGGGATTGAAGGGAGATCCAAATGACATGGAAGCACGAGCCAGGCTCAGCGCCCGCCGTCCGTGGGATCGTTTGGGCTGGTTGACGTGGTTATGAGCGTAAAGCCATGGGCCATGGCCGAGTCCGCCGAGAAATGATGCACGTTCCCGGAGGAGAGGACGACGTTGACAAAGGGCTCGAGATTGCATGCAGCGGCGACGGATCTCGAGGAGTCGAGATTCGTAGACGTGGAGTCGACGGTAGGTAAGTTGCGGCTTGCTGTTGAAGTTTCCGAACCCACGGGCAAGGCTTTTGGCTCTCAGCGGGATTGCGAGAGTGAGACAAACGCGCAAAGGTTGCGCAATGTCGAAGTCAATGGGGGAGGTCTCAAATGAGCCGTCGTCCGGTCTGGCTACCAGGGTCGACCTGGAGAAGAAAGCTTGGGAAGGATAGGCGTGGTTACTTGGGCTGGAGGCGATGGCCCGAAGCAGCATGGAGGGGACATTGGAAGTGGAGAGTCTTTAGAGCAGCGCTCCCTTGCAGGCTTGTTTTCCTAGCGCTAAAGCAGGCAAGGCGGCTTTTTCGGTGGCTGCGGCTAGCAGTGAATTGGCTTTCTCTCGCTCGTCGTTTGCCCACGGTAACGGTCAGAGTGCGAGGGAAGAGGCAATTAACCGGTTGGGGCCACGAGGTTGTGGCTTGCTGAGAGGACGTGAACGGCATCGCGAGGAGATGGCCACCTGTATGCCGGGAGTCGAGGCTGAGGGCGATGAGACACGATTGCCGGGCTCGAATATTCGAAGAAGGCCGGGACGCATTGCAGCCGCATGCGAAAGGATCCTGTCGAGTTGCAATTGACTGGCGGGATGATAAGGAAGCACGGCAGCCGAAAGCTTGCGGTCCGTGGGAGCCCGTAGAAAGAATGGGTGATGAGCGGGTGCCCCTGAAGGCAGCGTCCCAAAGAGGAAGGGAGTCGATGTTCGCCAAGGGGGAGCTACGCGTAAAACAGCCCGCCAATCAGGACGGGAGGGGCAAGTGCGGGTTGTCAGTTCATCCCAACACGGGTCCGTCTGTTTGCGTGAAACGTTCAGGCGTTGAACGGCAGCAAAACGCGCTGAACCAGCTTGTCTGCCAGTGGATAAGGTAGCCGTGGACAGTGACTGTCAGCGCTGTCAGGTCCTTCCCCGTTGACGGCAGTGTCCAAAGTCTGTCGTACCTGTGAGGTAAGTTTGGTGGTGTGTGGTCTGTTCCCTGGGAAGAGATACGTGCATGAAGCCACGGACCAGGCGTCCCCCACCACAGACGCGACCCAGCAGATGCCAGGGCTGTCATTGGTGGCAGGGGCTGCCTCGACCCGGGACATGGCTGGATGGCTTTTCGATGGTAAGACAGAGGCGACAGCTGGGAGAGCCACTCATCATCATCAACCACTTGGGACCAGCAGGACGAGTTGCAGAAGGAATGGGCAGAATTGGTCAGACGGGACTTGCTTGTTAGGTCTGGTAGACTCTACCTTAGGTACCTTAGGTAGTGTAAGATGGAAGAAGCACCGGACTGTCAGTTCCCCTGCGCAATTGCATGCATGTGTGCAGATCTGCTGCTAGCAAGCAAGCAGAAACGGGCAGGCTATCCACTTCCACCGGGCTAGCACCTGGCCTCTCTGGCCAATAATCACGACAGACGTCCAATCTCTTTCAGCAGGTCCCTTTCTCTTTCGGACAGACAGTCCTCGGAGCCGTGGCAGCGAGCCAGACTGCCAGCCATGTCTGACCAGTGAGCGGCGTCTCCTGCCTCTTTCCCCCCTGTCACTGGGGACGCCATCAACACTGGACCTTCCCAGACCACGACCATCGTCGCTACCTTCCCCTGCTAGCGGTGGTATTCACTGCAGCGGCCTGCCCACTGGCGTCTCCTCCACCTCCGATTCGCACAGGTGCATCTCCATAACTACTCCCCACGATCCCCTCCCGCCTCGCCTCTCTTCCTCTTGCCTCTCAACCCTCCACCTCCCCTCGCCTTGCCTCGCCAATCCTCTCCACCATCCGGCGGGCATCTTTCTTCTTTTTTCTTCTCGAGCCGTCCGGTCTGATCTTGATTTATTTCAAGGTCGCCCATTTTTTGTGTGTTTTCTTGTCTTGTGTGGTTTGGCACAGATTTAGAACACCCGAAAACCAGACATCATCGCCATCTCTGCCTGTTCGACCCCAACTCGCTTCCCTTGCAGAGAGTACAGCATCGTCCGCAGCCATCTACGCTTGTCTCATTGTCTTGCATCGTGTCTCTGGCCCTCCTCGCTAGTGGCGCTCGCCGTCACCCGTCCATCAATTCCATTGTCTTGCCCTTGGTTCGACCCGCCAGCGTACAGCATTTTCGCATCCATACGCCAACATCACTCTCAAACATTACGCATTCCTGCTTGTATACCCGCCGCCTCCCCCGAGTCCGAGTCCCGAATTAAAAGAGTCCCCTGACTCTTCGAGACTCATTCCATCAACGTTCCGCTTTACTTGCGCGACAACTAATTCTTAATACCTTAATCTGTCCTCCGCCGCGGAGTCTGGCACCCGCACCAAAGCCCGTTGAAAGCCGATTCTCCCCAAACCCAGATTATCGAGTTCCCGACGTCAATTGCTGCAGTATCTTGGTCCCATCGATCGTGTCTTGCTCAGTTGCCTCTTCCCGACCTGGCGAGTTCGAACTGAGTGGTATTGACTGATTAACTTCAGTCGACATCACAACTCGTATCGATTACTGCTCAGGACTGCCCGGCCCGTCTCACTCTCAAGATGCGTTCAGCCCAGGTTCTGGCTCATCTCTCGCTATTTCTCTCGTCTGCTCAAGCTTTCTTTCCGTTTGAGGTCGACAGTCACTGTCCATTTGTTGGCGGTTGCGGGTCTTCTGGAGCAAAGGAGACTAGGGATCAAGAAGCGCTTGGAGAAGATGCGGTAAACGCCATCAAGGCCATCAAGAACCCGGCCTTCCATGTCGGTCCCCAGATTACCAAAGACTCGGTAAGTGGAGTGTATCTCGGTTGTTGGGTCCGACGATGGAGCCCCATGGTCATATCCAATCACCATTATAAGAAGCTAACCACTCTGTTTGTAGACGGAGGATTCTCAATCTGACCGAGTTGCACGTGAGGTCGAACGTCTCACTCGCAAGTATGCGAGGTTCCAATCCGCCGAGGTAGTCCGGGAGAGGGCTCGCAATGCCAAGAGACAAAGCCTCTACCGCATCATCACCGCAGCGGACACCACCCTCAAGAACGCCGCCCCTGTCGCACAGGATGGCACGGACTTCTCCTACTTCGCCCAAGTCAAGTTCGGCTCTCAGCAGAAAGCTTTGTGGATGCTCATCGATACCGGAGCTGGCACTAGCTGGGTGATGGGCTCTTCCTGCAAGTCATCCGCCTGCGAGAAGCACGGCTCCTATGGTCCAACCGACTCCGACTCGTACAAGGACCTTTCTGAAGGCTTTTCTGTTGCCTATGGCTCTGGATCAGTCAAGGGCCAGAAGATTTCAGATAGCATTTCATTTGCCGGCATGAACTTTGACTTCCAGTTCGGTGTTGCCAACGAAACCTCCGACGACTTCAACCACTTCCCCTTTGATGGCATCCTGGGACTCTCGATGGCAGGTGGCGAGACGGAGAACTTCGTTCAGGTTGTCCAGAACTCCAAGCAGCTTGATGCCACCATCTTCTGCGTATATCTGAACAGAGCCGCCGACGGACCGAACACGAGCGAAATCAGCTTTGGTTCCTGCAACCCCGACAAATACACTGGCAACTTCACGTACACCGCTGTTGGCTCTGAGAACGGCGACTGGGCGATTCCTTTGGACGGCATTGCTTACGATGGTCAGAAGTCCGGTGCGGCTGGCAAGCTTGCCTACATTGACACTGGAACGTCTTACGTCTTTGGACCCCAGACTGACGTAGCCGCATTCCACGCCAATATCCCTGGCTCATCCTCGGAAGATGGCACCACATTCAAGGTACCGTGTGACAGCAACAAGGACGTTACATACACCTTTTCTGGCACCAGCTATGTCATCTCTGCGAAGGACTGGCGGGGATCTCAGAACAGCGATGGCACTTGCACGAGCAACATCTATGGGCATGAGGTTGTGCCGGGAGCCTGGTTGCTGGGTGATGTTTTCCTCAAGAACGTTTACGCGGCCTTTGACAAGGACCAGAAGCGTATTGGTGAGTCTCAACAATGAAAACAGATACATAGGCTATGTAGGCTATGTGCTAACCCTTTTACAGGATTCGCAACCAGGAATGATCCCCCGCCAACCACCACTACAACAGCTGATGCCACCGCCACACCCGCAGTGGTGAACCAGCCCGGCATCACCACTGTCGTCTCAGCAGGGACGACGGCCACTCTTGGCCTTAGCGGCCATGAGACGTCTGCCGCAGCCGCAACGCAGTCCACAGGCACGCAATCTGGCGCAGCAGCCTTTGCCTCTTTTGCCTGGGTCAACGTCGCTGCCGCTGCGTCCTTCTGCCTCTTCACCACGCTCGGATTCTACTGAGGAGTTGTTTTTTTTTTTTCATCAAGCGCTGCAATCCCCGCACGATCGGGATTACGGAATGGGAAATTGGATGGTTATGTGCACATGATACCCCAAAGGGACCGACACAGACGGCCCGCTACAGATGGCCATTGTAGATATTACTTGTAATGTAGATAAAAGCGTTTGTTTCTCACGGCCACATATCTTCTGTTTTCGACGCATGAATTACACTCAGTGATGAATGACAATGTTTCATTTACTGATATCTATTTTCAGAAAGCTTTTTGGAATTTGTGCACATCAAAGGCGCTCAGTGTGCTAGGAACTCGCAGGAATCTCATCAAACATGTCGCAGCGTCCATAATAACCCCGTCCCTTCAGTAGTTTAAGGGGTATATATCCCAGACAAAAGACCACCCAGCCAGCCCCACCTCCATAAGGCCACCCGTCCCGCTTAATTGCATTCATTTCATATGTACATGATATATGCGTCGCTCTCCCGCCTTCACCGTTTAAGATCGAAAAATGCCGAGTGACATGCCTTTCATCGGCCTCAGGCGCATCCTTAAACTCCCCTCCTCAAGCCTTTTTTCAGATCGACCAAAACCACAAACCTGCTACTTGAAGAGGGGGTAGTTCAAGCGGGGCTTACAGGCGGATTTTTGGTCCCACGCGCCTACTATACGTGTCTGAGCATGCCCATACGCGAGGCATGAGCCTGAGGATGGGGAGTTTAAGGACACCGCCTTGGTCAGTGTGGTGGCATGTCTACAAAGACGCAGGCTCTCTTCTACTTATCAAGCCTTGACGCCTGGTGAGCTTTTCCCCCTCCTCCCAGAGACGTAACCTTAAACTCCCCTCCTCAAGCGTTCTCAGACGAACCATACCCGCGACTTGAGGAGGGTTGACTCAAGCCGCGCCACTATAGGGTATGGGCGATACCGTCTGGGCATGCTGATCGGGCATGAGCTTGAGGAGGGGAGTTTAAGGTCACGTCTCGGGTGCGTCATCTCAAGAGAGCTTACATTTGTTTTTCCCCTCGTCCGTGTGCAGGAACTTCGTCAGAGTCCCCCCTTCCAGAGCAGATCTGAGGGGTGTGAGGACATCTAGCGGCTCACTGCGGTAGCAACCAGCGTCCTGTCCGACCGACGTGGTGAGATCCTCGGTCGAACGGTACACTGGCCGGCCTTTCATGCGCTGCTTGACGTCAGGGAAGAGCTGCGCTGGAAAAGGGGCCTCTCATGAGGGTCCTGCGCGCGGACGAAACAGCACACAACACTGAGGAAGCGTGCAGCCCGCGCCGTATAAGCTTTCTGGCATTCTTCTCCGCTTCACATCTTCATCTCCCCGTGCAGCCCCGTCGTCGCGGCGGCCCTCACGGCGCCGAGGCCGCCGACGTCAGCCTCGAGCATGCGCAGCGCCTCCCTCGCAAAGGGCGCGGCCTGGGCGCGCACGCGCAGGCTCCAGAGGTACTCCTCGACGCGGTCGGCGTAGTACATGGCCTCGGCGTCGTCGTCGGAGGTGGCCCAGAGCAGGCCGGCGAAGGAGCCGATGCCGGCGAGCTGGGCGGAGGCGGCGAAGCCCCAGAAGGACTGGATGTGCTCCATCTGCAGGTTGGAGATGATGTTGGAGGCGGCGGCGAGGCGGGCGCGGGCGCCGGTGCGGATGGCGGCGCGCAGCTCTGGGGGCGCGTTGGAGGAGATGTTGCGGACGAGCGAGCGGTGGAGGGCGAGGTCTATTGAGATGTAGGAGAGGTGGAGGGAGCCTGTGGGGAGTTAGTGTTTGGGATAGGGAGTTGCAGATGGGGGGATTCTGGGACGTACCGTTTGCGGAGAGCTTCTTGAGACGGGTCTCTTGGAGTTGCAGGGCTTCTGGGAGTTTGGCGTACCATTCCCGCAACATCATTACTATCGGCTTTGCTAGCTCTGCGACGCCAACGGTGCCGATCTGGTCGAGGGTGCCCCCGCGGCGGGTGGCTTTGGCCGTGTAGAAGGTGGCCAGCACGTCGCTCAGGATGAGGGATAGCTCGATCTGGCGGAGGAAGAGCTCCCGTCCGACGACAACTTCGGCGCTGCCCTCGGGGTCGTAGTCTTCATCCGCGGCAGTCTCAGGAAAGTCCTCGACACGACACGGCCGCACGTCCCAGTCTTCGTCTAGGCGGATGTGAGAGGGGCGGCCGTGGACGAGGGCACCCCATTTGTCCTGCATGAAGAGAGCCCACGCCAGCCTGCGCCGCAGCCCCTTCTCCCACTCGGGGATGGCCCAGTCACTGCAGTCGACGTGGAGGCCGAGGCCCTGGGCGAGGGCGATGAGCTGGGCGGTGAAGGTCCAGGTGTTATTCCGGAAGCGCTGCTGGATGAGGAGGCCGGCCTGGAGGGTTGAGATCTTTGGGCGCTTCATGTCATCGCTCATTGTGCGGAGGGCGAGGGCCTCGAGGGCGGCCTGGTCGGGCTGCCATGAGGAGGTGGCGAGAGTGCGGTCGTAAAGGGACCAGTCGAGGGCGATGAGGTAGACGGCGGCGAGGAGGGGCGGGGAGAACTCGTGATAGGAGCGGGCGTACTTTTCGAGAAACACCTTTTTGTGGAGGACGGGGAAGCTGGGGTGGACAATGCGGAAGTAGAGGTTGACGAGTGTCGAGCCGAGGGGGTGGACGAGCTTCTCGATGGCGTCGAGGTCGGCTATTCGTTGTGGCTCCGAGGAGGTCTCGCGGTCGCGGTGGATGAGGAAGACCGTAGAGTCGTCGAGCCGGCGGACGGAGCGAACGGAAGGGTCCGAGGGCCGGTGGAGGTCTAGGAGGGAGGGTTCACGGTAGGATGTGTTGCCGACGTATTCGGAGTTTGTTTTGAGGTGTAGGCCGAGAGTGCCGTCTAAGAGGGAGGGTTGAGGGCTGAAGTGGGCAATGTTCTCGGAGCCGGCTAGTGATGGAGAGAGCGCCTCGAGCAGTTCCGGGGAAGGGTGTCTATTGTGACACGGGTCAGAAGGTTACTCGAGGGGGGTGAGCGAATGAGAGAGGTGGTGAAGGTCGAAAGAGGAAGGACATGACACGAGACCTGGGCACAATGACGTGCCCCTTCAAGACTAGCTTCATACAAGACTGGCGACATGGGCGACTAACTTCATACAGAAGCAGAAAACGGCGATAGGAAAAGATGACAATAATGAAGAAATGTAATGAGACTTACGTTATCTCTTCCTGGGGATCTAGCGGCATGGGAGCTGGTGGAGGACCAGCAGCGGCCGCACTGCCGGACCCATTGGTCTGGGGCCGCACCTCCGGGGGATCTGTGGCCTTCCGACGCTTGCGCGGGAGCGGGCCGCGGAGATATGTGCAGGGCTGGCCATGGAATGAACACATGACACACTTGTCGCGGCCCTCTTCGCGGACACAGCGTGTCTTGCGTTGGCGGCATATGTCGCAGGGGCGGCTTTGTGCCCCTGTTGCCGACGACGCCACTGCTGCTGCTACCGCTGCTGCCGCCGCCGCCGCCGATGATGATGATGATGAAGGGTGAGCTTCATGTGAAGGGGGCGTCGGCGCGGGCGCCGGCATGGTCGTTGGGACCGGGCCGGCGGAGGCGGAGGCGGGGGTGGGAGTTCGTGTGGTGGTGCCGTAGGGCGCTGGTGTTGCGTCCATCGTTCGGCGGGCGGGACCGGGCGAGGGGCCGGGCGCGCGGGGGTGGGAATGAGATAAGGTAGGACGGGGTGAGTGATGAGTTTGTGTGTGTATGTGTGTGAGAGGATGAGATAAGGTAGGCTGATTGCGATTAGACCTTGGGTGTGTGTGGTCTGTGGTTCACGTAAAAGTGGTGACACACATGTGAGAGTGAGTGTTGACTGAGAATGAAATAAAAAGGGAACGAAGGTCCTTCCCTCCTCTTCCCCGCTGGCGATGGCGACTTTTCCTACTTTGCGGGCTGTATCTGCCCGAGGTGAGGCTCCTTTCTGCGCCAACGCTACCAACCGCCTGGGAGGGTGTGGTGTGGGCTACAGCGGCATTGAGGCTGATCAGTCAGACTGAGGTGACCTCCAATTGGGAACTGCAAGGGATCGACGGCCCTGGCTTTTGGGGGTTCGCTCTAGAAAGTCCAGAGTCAAGCCTCGCCAAGTGGTCGTTGGACCAGGCTGGTTGCTGAGTCGGACGATGGAGTGACTCTCAGCTTCAAAGGCTGCTGCGAGGATTGCTTCTCCCACCTCTGAAGGAGTGTCTCAACTATCAACAGAGCCAATACAATCCGTTAACACCGGGGCTCTTTCGGGGATTGAGAGGTCGCGACTCGTCTGATTCGGCCTGGGCTGCGTGTGGTGCTGTGCTGTGCTGTGCTGTTATCGCAATACCGTACGTACGGCCTTGTGGGAATTTTTTTCTCTGATAAGTCGCTCACCGTCATTACGCCGAAGCGCTGTGTGGGATAAGTGAAGAGTGAAGGCACCTAGCCTGTTTAGGCAAGTCCACGGATGTAACTTTCAGGCAAGGATTGGCCGAAGTGCTACCTTTCGATACTCTCACTCTCCAGCGTCCAGCTTCTCCACTACGGGCGGGGCCTGGCCTACCGCGCCCCTGTCGCCGGGTACGCGGACTGTTGACAGCTCCCGGTCCCCTAAAAGTAAAGGAGGTACGTACCTCCACTCGAGAGTTGAGGTCAGCTTGCAGCAACGTCGACTGAACCGACAATAGACGACAGACTCCAAGCTCTCTCTACACTTGTCTTTCCACGTTTCGCAGCTCACATACGGCACCACCTTTGACTCTCCATTGCAAAGCACGAAACCACGGAAAGAACGGCGCATACGCACACACTCGACGAGGCCGCCTTCGAACCCCGTCCGACCTCTTTTCCTCCTTTCCTTCCCGCCGGAAAATGACAGCGCAATAACTTACAATGGCCAAGGCCCGTAACCATGGAGCCCGCCGAGACGACTCCCATCCGGGCGCTACTCCGGGCCCAAGCGAAGAGGACAGAAGCCTCCTCACCGACGACCCCCTCTCCCACGACTACCATCATGATCGCCAGGCCGGCCATGCCGCCGGCCATGCCGCCGGCCCCCGCGACGACTACTTCGTACCCCCAAAACAACAATCCGCCGCGCCACTCCGTCAAGCCCTCCGGTCCCCGGGGACGCCACGCACCCCGAACCGCGTCCGCTTCGACCCCATCCCCTCCATCGTCCAGCCCTCACCGCCCCGGCCCTCGATGACGAACAGCAATGGCTCGCGCCCCAGCCGCGACAGCTTCGACGTCGACGACGACGAGATCTTCCAGCACGCGCCGGGGTACGACGACCACGACGACCACCACCGCCTGCCTCTTCTGACGGACATCGAGGCGCCCTCCGTTGCGCTCGCCAACAGCCAGTGGGGTGAGGATGTACACGAATGGGCAGAGACCGAGCTCAACCGCCCCAAGTCCGGGCTGAAGATGGCATTCATGAACATGGCGAACTCCATCATCGGGGCCGGCATCATCGGGCAGCCGTACGCGTTCAAGCAGGCGGGCATGCTGGGCGGAATCATACTGCTGTTGGGGCTCACAATCGTCGTGGACTGGACCATCTGCTTGATTGTGGTCAACAGCAAGCTGTCCGGGAGCAACAGCTTTCAGGGGACGGTGGAGCACTGTTTCGGGCGGACCGGCTTGATCGCCATCTCGGTCGCGCAGTGGGCGTTTGCTTTTGGCGGAATGGTGGCGTTCGGCATCATCGTGGGCGACTCAATACCTCACGTGTTGACGGCCATTTGGCCTGATCTGAGGGAGATGCCCGTGTTGGGTCTCTTGGCAAATAGGCAGGTTGTTATTGTCGTTTTCGTGCTGGGCATCAGCTATCCGTTGACTTTGTACCGGGACATCGCCAAGGTAAGCGCCGAGGAGCTCGCGAGTGAAACGAGCAGATCGCTGACTTGAGTCTTCTAGCTGGCCAAGGCGAGCACATTAGCGCTCATCAGCATGGGCGTCATCGTGGCGACGGTCGTGATCCAGGGAGCTCTGACTCCAAAGGCGGACCGGGGCTCATTCACACCTGCTCTCCTGACCGTGAACAGTGGCATTTTTGAGGCCATTGGTGTCATCTCATTTGGTACGCCGTTCCCCGTTACTCCTCTTCACTCTCCCAAACTAACAAGCCAAGCCTTTGTCTGCCACCACAACTCCCTCCTAATTTACGGGTCTCTCAAGACCCCCACCATAGACCGCTTCTCGCGGGTGACGCACTACTCGGTCGGCATCTCAACGGTCGCCTGCCTCATCGTCGCGCTCGCCGGCTTCCTCACCTTCGGCGACAAGACGCTCGGCAACGTCCTCAACAACTTCCCGGCCGACAACGTCATGGTCACCATCGCGCGCCTCTGTTTCGGTCTCAACATGCTGACCACCCTACCCCTCGAGGCCTTCGTCTGCCGAGAGGTCATGTTCAACTACTTCTTCCCCGGCGAGCCCTTCAACATGAACCTGCACCTCATTTTTAGTTCTAGCCTGGTCGTCTCCGCCATGATCATGAGCCTGGTGACGTGCGACGTCGGCGCCGTCTTCGAGCTCGTCGGCGCCACCTCGGCGTGCGCGATCGCGTACATCCTGCCGCCGTTGTGCTACATTAAGCTCAGCTCCCGCTCGTGGAAGACGTACGTCGCGGGCGGCATCGTCGTCTTCGGCACCGTGGTGATGGTCATCACCTTGATTCAGGCAGTCGCCAAGATGATTAGCAGTGAGTTTTGGCCCCTGTTTCTCTTCTGTTGTAAGGATGTTGATGCTAACGTGACGTCAGACGACAGCGGCCCAGCCAAGTGCATGTGAAATATGTATTATTAGAAAGTAAGAGGAGGAGGGTGTGTGGTGGCTTTCAAACTTGATATAGAGAAGCGCGGGGAAACTTTGGCGCATTTGAATAGAGTCCTCGCGGTTTGTACAACACGGAGACGAAAGGGGGACGTTTGTTAGGATTACATACCGAAATGGTGTACTGTAGAAGCTCGACAGAAGCTGGTTTTACAAAAATCTCGAAAGAGGCGGCGTTTACACTGCATATTGGTCCCATTCGGTGTTCATTGCTGTGAGATGCGTGTCTCATTCTTTGCAAAACAGTGGTTTGGGGTCTCATTTCTTGTTCTAACTCTATGAAATAGGCTTCTAAGGTATAAACGCTCAAAAATGCCGAAGAAATCGCAGGCATACATACTAAAGAACCGTCTACTCTGTCTCGATAATTAGCAAATCATCATACGGCCCAACAATGTCCCCCTCGACAACCAACATCTTGGCCACCGTGCCCGTCACGGGACTCTCAATCTTGATCTCCATCTTGTTGGACTCGATCCACACCAGCGCGTCCCCGACTTCCACCTCGTCGCCCACACTGACCTCGCACTTCCAGCATCGACCAGGCATCTGGCTCTTTACCCTCTCCCCGGCAACATCATCTTCCTCAACGGGGCGACGCTCTGTCTCAGGGGGATTGTACGGCTGGAGCAGTTCCTCCATGAACGGCGCTGTCCGGATGGCCTCGGCGCGCGCCGCGCGGGTGGCTTCGATGTCGTCCTTATTCTCTTCGAGCCAGGATTCGTAAGCGTGTAGATCGAGACTCCCCTCTTGGACCTTGATCAAATCTGTCATTTTCCCCTGCGCGATAGCGGTGTCGAGCTCCGATTCAGAGATGGTGTAGAAGGAGATTCGGTCGAAGAGGCGGAAGAGCCAGGGCTGGGTGTTTTGTGAGGCGGCCGAGGCGGCTACATCGTCCCAGATGGGCACCGTGCGGCCGACGAGCTGGTAGCCGCCGGGGGAGTCCATGCCGTAGATGCACATATACTGACCGCCAATACCAACGGCGCCGCGTGGCGTGAAGGAACGGGAGGGGTTGTATTTTGTGCCGAAGAGGCGGTGGCGTGGGTCTAGCGGCACAGCGCAAGGGGCACCGAGGAAGACGTCACCAAGGCCGAGAACTAGGAAGGTTGCGTCGAGGAAGATGCGCTCGACATCCTCGCGGGACCCCAGAGCGTTGAGTTGCTGGAGGAAGTCGATGTTACTGGGTAGCCATGGGGCGGTTGCGCGGATCGTGGCAGCGTAGCGGGCTACTGCGGCGCTGGAGACGGTGTCGTCGAAGGCGAGAGGGAGACTTATTGTGCGCGACGGAAGGGAAGAGGGGACTGCGGTGCCCAGGGAGGTTTCGTGAGATCTGAGGGCGGAAATGATTTCTGAGGGGGTCGTGCCTGGTGTGTACTGGATGTGGAGAGTGCGAACACCAGGAGAGAGGTCGAGAACGTTCGGGATTGGGGCCTGCTTGTGGCGTTCGATGAAGGAGAAGATTTGGAAGGACTGACGGAGGGAAAAGACGTCCTCCGTCCCAAATTCTAGGAGAACTGACGAGTCACCTGCTTGGCGAACAGATATGTGGCGGCCAGCGGTGCCTATATTGCCGAGGAGAGGGTTCCGCCCAGCCGGAATGGGAATATCGTTCTTGGAAGGCAAAGTAGACTCCAACGGCTTGAGATTGGTGATGGAATCCTCAAGAGCGGCTTCCAGTGCCAACGCATCGTCAACACTGATGGGCCTGAGCTTGACCTTATCGCCTGGGCGCAGCTGTCCTAACTTCCACATCTCAGCCGAAGCAACGACGCAAAAGACCACGAAGCCGCCTAGACTTGGGCCGTCGCAAGTGAGAATAACGGCCTCGTCTCCGGTAAAGCTGATGCTGCCTACAGAGTAGGGACTGTCGTGGATATTGGATGGGTGTAATCCGGCGTCGCCCCCGGTCTGTCGAGCCCATCGCGGCTTGGGTCCGTCAAGACGAATACCGACCCGGTTACTATTGTAGTGAACAATCCACTCTCCGTTGAAGAGTGTGTTGAGGCCCTCTTCGGTAAAGTGCTCAGGTGCTGAGTGCTGCCCTGGGATCACCCCAAGCGTCCAAATCCCGTTCGGCCCCGTTGGCAGAGGAAGTTCAGGACTGACAAAGTCTGAGACCTGTTCTGACACCATATCTCCTCCTGTGGGCAGCAGGTCCCCCGCACGAAGAGCTCGACCATTGTGACCCCCTATTTGTCCCAGCGCGAACGTAGAGCGAGAGCCAAATATCTCTGGGACGGGCAGTCCACCTCGGAAAGCAATGTAAGTGCGGTAGCCAGCTTTTGGTGCACCAATGGAGAGCGTCTGCCCCGCACGAATATCGAGAGCCTGTCCCTGGTAGTAGGGCTCGTTGTCCACGAGTATCTCTACAGCCGCACCGGTGACTGCAATCACGCCACCAGAGTGGAATAGGAGGCTGGGCCCCTGGAAGGTACACTCCAGACTAGCGGCCCGAGGATCATTCCCTACTAGCTTGTTGGCAAGCCTGAAAGAATAGTCATCGAAGGGACCGGATGGCGGAATCCCAACGTGCCAAAGCCCCTTGCGGCCGGGGTAGTCTTGCACAGTGGTCAAGATGCCGGGATCGATGACTTCAACCACGAGCGGATCGTAGTCGAAGTTGTTTAGTGACGTCGTTGTGAAGTCGCCAGATTCGAACAACTCGGAGTCGACGATATCGCGAAGATACTCCAGGTTGGTCTCCACTCCCGTGATCACGGTATTGTCCAGGGCGGTAGCCAGTTGCGTGATGGCCTCCGCTCGGCTCTCGCCGGTTGCTATTATCTTGGCAATGAGAGGGTCATAGGATGATGACATCTCTGTGCCGGCGTCAACCCAAGTGTCAACCCGCACCTCATCGGGGAAGGATACATCCAGCAACCGGCCTGGAGAGGGCCTGAAATTCTGGAGCGGGCTCTCAGCGTAGACACGCGCCTCGATGGAATGACCCTTTACCTCAAAGCCCTCGTGTCTATTCTCAAAGATGCTCCCGATGTCCCCGGATGCTACCCGAATCATACACTCTACCAAGTCAAGCCCCGTCACAGACTCCGTAATCGGGTGCTCAACCTGGAGCCGAGTGTTGACCTCAAGGAAGTAGAACTCCGTGCTATCAACATCGAAGATGAACTCAATCGTGCCCACGTTGCGGTACTGCACGGCCGAGGCGAGGTCAACGGCTGCTTTGCGCATTCTCGATCTCACGTCAACCGGCACAAAGATAGCCGGGCTCTCTTCGATGACCTTTTGGTTTCGTCGTTGCAGTGAGCAATCGCGCTCCCCGGCCGCAACTACATTGCCCTTACCATCGCCAACGATTTGCACCTCGATGTGACGCGCATTCTTGATGAAGTGCTCAATGAAAACGCCTGCATCACCAAAATTGGCTTTCGCCAACCTTTGGACGCTCTTGAACGCTTCTAGAAGTGACGAAGGCTTGTTGCAGCGCTTTAGCCCGATTCCTCCGCCACCAGCAGTACTCTTGAGCATCACAGGGTAGCGAATGCGCATGGCTTCAGCCAAAGCGTCTTCGGCACTCGTAAGGAGGTGTTTACTACCCGGTACGACAGGTACTCCGGCAGCAATCGCGACATCGCGAGCGAGGTGCTTCAAACCCAGCTGTCGCATCTGGTCAGGTGTAGGGCCGACCCAGATCATACCTTCAGCCTCGACGGCAGAGGCGAATTCGGCGTTCTCTGCCAGAAATCCATAACCTGGAATGATTGCATCTGCGCCAGCACTCCTGGCAAGACGGATGATTTGCCGGCCGTTCAGGTAAGTCTCCGAGACAGAAGAGCCTTCCAGGAGGAGCGAGACGTCTGCATCGCGGACGTGTGGGGAACGAGCATCAGAAGAGGAGTAGATTGCGATGACCTTCAGGCCTAAGCGGTGCAGTGTACGAACGATTCGGATGGCAATCTCGCCACGGTTGGCAATGAGAACAGACTTTATTCCGCTGACTTGTTGAGTGACTGGAACAGGATTGGCTACGTTGAACTTGGGGCGGTCGAGCGACTGGATGAAGGCACGCCAACCTCCGAATGAGGTGATGTCGGTGGCATCGTCCAGGCCATATGGCTCGCAGACAAACCCAGGGGCCCAGCTTCCGTCCAACAGCTCTACTGAGCCAATGCCAAGGGGTGAAGATACGGTCTTCATGAAACTGGCCATTTCTGCGGTCGGCAAATTCCAGACCTCGACTTGGATGGCACTTCCGCCGACGGGAACACGTTTAAGGCCTGGTTTCCTCACTCTTCCGTCCGTGTTGAGAGAGTAGAACTGGTAGTTGGGTGAGGTCGTTGTTGCCGTCTCTAGTGTCGCTCCTCGAGACGTCAGGTCTTTGTTTAAAGGAAACCCCTCCAAATGAGCACCTACCACCACAAGACGAGTTGTCTTCAGCTCGCCCGCGGCGACAGCGTCGGAATTGATCTTCTCGAGCCTTTCAATCTTGGTTGCACCGAGAAGGCGAGGTGCCGTGGAGAGCCACTCGCGGGCGAAGGCCAATAACTTGGGTTCCTCCCACGTGGAAGAAATCAGCGTGATCCCGAATGGTAGACCATCCGATCGGAAGCCCGCAGGGATAGAGAGGGCGGTCCAGTCCATAAAATTGACGAAGTTTGTATAAGTGCCAAGGTAGGCGTTCTCCTTGATCGGCTCTCGGACAAGGTCCTCAAGAGTTGGAAAGGTAGGCGCAGTAGGCACCAGAATCGCGTCGAACTCATCAAAAACATCATGGATCTTGCGAGTCAGATCTTGACGAATATACTCCGACTCGAAGAGGTCTACGGCGTTGAAGTCCTTGGCCTTGAAGATGATTTCCCGAACGATAGGGTCCATATCACTCTCGTGCGTCTTGATAAAATCCTTGATCGCAGCATAGCGCTCAGCCACCCAAGGGCCTTCGTACAGGAGACTAGCGAGCTTGAACAACGACGAGAAGTCCCTGTGCTCAAGAG